TAATTCTCTTTTATCAGGTGGAGATGAAATTTTAAAATCATATAAACCACCACTTTGAACATTTGGAGAGTAACACACATTTCAAATTTTTATAATTATACAAATAATTCTTAGAGCTGCTGTCAATTTCAGGTTACTACTATATCCCACACCGGCAGCATTCAGCATGAGTCATTTAAATATTAAATTTAATTGATCATAATCTCGGTCTTATACCAGCTACCAGTAAAAAATGAAAATCAAAAGCCATCAACCAAAGAAAGAAATATATAAGAATATATTACATTCTCTTCCGTTGACGATACTGCTCCGATGTTCACTGATTTTATAAGAGATACTTTGTTTTAAAAAATAGAAGGGACTCACATTACAACAAATTTTATTCTTGATAAATAAAGATCATCAATATTCAATAAAATCTGGCACAACTATACAATGATAAATTAATTAGTTTTCAACAATCAGGGTTTCCAGATTATCTCACAACAATCATATTATATTATCATTTTATAACTTTATTAACTTTTCACAGCTGTCTTTTACTCTTTTTTTATCTTTTGATATTTTACAAAAAATTACAAAATCGAATAAATCAGCATCTAGTTGAAAAATAGTCGTTACTTTATTTTTTTTCACGTCATAAACTGCCGCAATTGATTATTGTGATTGTTACTTCTACTTCATTAGAAATCAAATAAATAAGTAAGGTTTTCGCTTAGTAAAAGAAGTAAAGGCTTAAATTTTTGTTCAAGTTTTTGTTAAACGTTTCTACAAGTGTTCTAATGTAAACGTAGGGTGTTAAACTATTCAACAAATATAAAATGTTAACAATTATTATCGATTAATCAAATAAAGTACCGACATAAAATTGTTATCACATCTTGTGTTAAAATAATTGTTGTAAACGTACGGCTGTTAAAAGAAAAGCAGTTTAATTAACTGAGCTTTTAAGTGATCAAAAAAAGAACTTTGGGTTGCTTTCTAAAAGGCCACATTTGATTATTTATCCCAGATTAAAGGTCAATGTGTCACTTGGAATTTTTTTTTATTCCAAGTTTATTGCTATTTACAAATTTCGTTTGTTAAAAAAATTAACCAAAAAAAAAAAAATCCTTTGCAAAGATTCATCAATGGATTTCATTTGTTTTCTCTGAAATAATTTTCCTATCTAAACCATTCACACACTCTCTCAAATGGTTAAAAATCAAAAAAAATGTTTATTTATCGATCATTGAATTTAAATTGGCCGATAATAATGATGTTATTAGATCCCGGACTCGAAAATATATTAACACGTTGGTGACAAGTCTTTGACAACATTGAACCTGGGATAAAGGCTCCAAGATAAGGCAATATCTGAAATGTCAAAACAAGATGAAAACCTAACGGTAGACAGCGGTAGACACTGCGCAAAAAAAAAAACTAAAGCGAATTACGATTTCTTTTTAGTCAAGTATCTGCTTTTCTCAACCCTGACGTTTTGAGCAAAAATAAATAAATTATTCGGTTACTAAATAGATAGCAATGGGAATTCGCATGATACGATGATGTAAAATAACCACAACCATTCATCATTTTTGGGAAACGAAAATATTTTCAATTTAACAAATTAATTTCAAGCCAACGTAGCAAAAAAAGAA